ATATGTACTATCAGTTGTGTTAATTTAAATGTGATACGTCGAATAATCTAGAAAAAAATCAAGTTTAGGGCATAATTGGCCGTAAATTCATGCTTGGACATTTCTTCAATACTCATCGTGAATAGCAATAATCATATCTTAAGACGACACTTACCTAGGCTATACATTCTTAGAAAGTTTAACATCTCTCACATAAATAGCTTCGGCTCTAACGGGCTTCAAATATGGCACAAACGACAATCGTCAAAAACCCGTCGTCCTTCCTGGCACATTCGGGAATTTATTTTTTTTAAACTAAATATGCCTGAGCATTGAAATAAACGGCATTGTCTTTCGCAAGGAATACAGCCACCGCATTTTAAAAAAATACAAACGTACTTTACTGCCTGAATCCAAATGAAACCGCCCGCCGGTCTTTCGAAGGTCGACTAACTTCGAACTTTTGCCCTAAAAGTCGAAGTTCGTCGACCTTTTGAATTTTCAGAAATCGAAATTTAAACAATTTTCAAAATTTTCTTAATAAATAAGTTCGAAAGTTCGAAAATGATCGAAGCTCTTAGCGTAGAAAGTTAAAAAACGTCGAACCTTTTAGTGAAAGAATTTCGAAAGCTCAAGAATCATAAATTTTTTAGTCTATCAAAGTGCGAAAGTTCGACAGGCATCGAATTTAGCAGTGTAATAAGTTTGAATATTTGAGAAGGATCGAATTTTTTGGCGTTATATGGTCGAAGGTTCGAAAAAAAATTGCATTTCTGAACGTGCAAAGTTCGAAATTTTGAAAATCATCGCACTTCCTAGTTTAAAAAGTTCGAGAATCGGAATTTCGTCGAATTTTTCGATATAGAAAGTTCGGAAATTCGAAAACTTTCGAACCTTTCGAACCGCTTGATTCGATCATCGGAACTTCGGTTTGAAAACGTTCGCGGCATTTCTAATTGTGCTAGCCTGTGTATAAAAATAACTTCTGCATCTTCAGTCAGTGACAGGTTGAGAACCCCAGTTGATGCTCTGCCTCGAGCGGGAGCTTGCTGCCTTTGATAACACAAAATTCGTCACTCACGAAGATATGCCAGGCGGAAAGCAACGAGTGCGTGCTGGGGACAGATCTTCTAATGGGCCCTTAGCCTGTCACCGACTATAAGTGATAGCAGTATACTTCGTTTCACATTAATTCCAGACTCAGCCGATGCCACGAGCTGATGGGACCAATCAGCTCGATCAGAAGACAGCATCAAAAGCTCATCGTCATGGTGTTCGCCATGTTTCTGTACGTTCTCTGTCATTGCTGAACTAATCATATATAAAAAAGAGCCTCAATGATTTGCACTTTTAACACTGCTCGATTGGTCCCATAGCTCATAGCGTCGACAGTGTCTAGATTTAAGCTTAAACGAAGTATAGTACACTTATCTGTGCTTCATATAAGCAGCGTGAATGCTCCCATTTGCCTGCCATGTCAACACAAAAAAAAATTAAAAGATAAAAACAAAATATTCCAATTCAAAGTTTGATCCTTCAGGCTAACAAAAAGGGCACGTCACGTTTATAAAAACTTCGATGTAGAAGTCTGAGTTATCAGTTTGCAGCTCCGAGAGAGAGAAAGAGAGAGAGAGAGAAATAAAGAAAGAAAGAAAGAAAGGGAAAGAAGGAGGGAACTAAAATGATAACCATTATTTTATCAAGACGGCCAGAGTCAGGATATCACTGCACTGGCTGCGCTTCTTGCCGTTACCAGAATATTGAACGTGCCCTGAACGAACAACGCCTTCCCAACATCAGAGCATTCCTGTCTTGCTCAACCTTTGGTCTTTAAACATTTCTTTCCGGAAAAGTTTCCGAAGTTATACGGAGTGTTTCAAATCATGAACATTAATTTCAACCAACAATGCGGTCATGGCTACGTGGTTATCGACGAGTATCCCTGTCCCGGCCGCCAGCACGGTTTTCACGACAGCATGAACGGCTGCCCCAACCATGGATTCGGCAATACCTATGTGGTCATCGACGAGTACCATGATTCCAACCATGCCGGCTTCTACAACCGTCGGTATAACAACCGTCAGTGGCACCCGCAGTTCAACGCCCGTAGGCCGCCGCTTCTTTCATCTCCGCGGAACCGGGGAGGACCTCCCGGCCCTCGTTGGCGAGGCAACGAAAGGCGGCCGTTCTTCCTCCGTCGCAACTGCAGAAGGCCACCCTTCGTCTTTTGGACACCTCAAGTAAGATCGCCACTGGCGCAGCAGCCTTTCCTACAGGGGCCACAGGCGCAGAGCCAGATACGGCCAGAATCGACGCGTTCACCGCCACGGACGCTAAAGAATGTGTCTCTGGAGTCATCATCGCAAACGTCGCAGCAGGCGGCAGCTACAGAACCGCGTGTGATGGTGACTGAACCGACAGAAGGAACGTTAGCAACCGACCAACGACAGCTGTCATCGAAGGAACCAACGCAGTTTGCAAAAGATAGGTCGTTGCCAACTTTAATGACGGAACCACAGCAGACGTCATGGAAGGCGCCGCCACAGACATCGAAGAAGGCACAGCTGCAAACGTCGACAAAGATTCCGCCACAGACGTCAAGAAAGACACCACCAAAGATGTCAACAAAGACGCCTCCAGAGACTTTAACGAAAACGCCGCCAAGTATGTCGACAAAGACGCCACCACAGACGTCAACAAAGACGCCACCAAAGATGTCAACACAGACGCCGCCACGAACGCCACCGAAGACGCCGGCACAAACGTCAACGAAGACGCCGGCACAAACGTCAACGAAGACGCCGGCACAAACGTCAACGAAGACGCCGGCACAAACGTCAACGAAGGCACTGCCACAAACATCATGGAAGACACGAGAGCAGATTTCATTTAAGGCACCAGAACAGACTTCAACGAAGGCACCAGAACAGACTTCAACTAAGGCACCAGAACCGACTTCAACTAAGGCACCAGAACCGACTTCAACTAAGGCATCAGAGCAGACTTCAACTGAGGCCCTAGAGAAGGTTTCAACAAAGACACCACAACAGATTTCAGCGAAAGCACCACAGCAAATTTCAGCTAAGGCACCACTGCAGACATCAACAAAGATCCCGACGCATGTGTCAACGAAGAGCTCACCGCTAACAACGAAAGAGACGGTGCCGCAGAAGACAGACGTGCCTACAAAAACATCGAAAATGACGATGCAAAAAACTGAAGTTTTGCCGCAGACATCAACAGGAGTACCGCTTGTGACGCCAGCAAAGAAAGAGCAGCAGATTGCAATGCGTATGTCGCTGAAGGAAACTAGCACGTCGCAGGTAAAGGTATCACTCCAAGCAACAGAGCCAACACCAACGGCAGCATTACAAGGGATGACAATGTCGTCGTCATTCCAGACGCCAGCAAAGGTACCACAGTATGCTGCACCGATGCTGTTGCAGAAGCCAACAAAGATGACGCAGCAAGGGATGCCAATAAACGCAACACAGCAAGGTATAGCCAAAATAATTCAGAAGTCGGCAGCAGAGGTGCTTGAACATCGGACCTCATTGAATGTGTCACTGCAGTCAACATGGCTGGCAGGTGCAAAGACCCCAGTACAGGCAACAAAGACGGGGCTGTCTACTGCAGTAATGACCTCCCAGCTCTCGCCAAGCAAACAGCCAACAACAAATACGCCGCAGCGGCCGACAACAAACGCAGGGCAGTCTACAGCAGAGCCGACGCCGGAAGACTCAAGTGAGACGTCAATGAATCAGGCATCATTGGAAGTACAACAGAAGACACCAGTAAGGGCGTCGTTAGAGGTGTTGAGAACGACGTCGGTGCAGCAACATTTTGCCCAACAGCTTTGTTCTTCTGAAGAACGACTAGCGTCACAAGAGCTGTCTTCTCGGGGCCTCAAACGTAAGTTTAGCTCGGTAGTGGCAGACGCAAAGTTAGATGAAACTTCTGCCAAAACACCTGTCGTTGCCAGGATTGTATCTATGATGCACTGGACTCCCTGTGCGACGGGTGGATATGAATCGCCTATAATTTGCGACACACCGATGAAAGGGGAAGGTTTTTCTTCGACTGGAACAAGAACAGAAATTCCCCCCGTACCCATCGGTGCCGTGAAAGAAGGTGTTGTCAATTGTTTCGCCGACAGTGGGGACAACTCATTCGCTACAATTTACAGCAAAACTCTTTCAGCTCACAACGAAGGTGGAGCAAGCCCATCTATTGCAACGACCAAACCAGCAAGCGAAGTACTTCAGCGGGCAGTTTCCACAGCTCGAGTGAGTGTCGACCGGGTTCGGAGCCCAGACGGCAACATCGAGGTGAGCCATCAAAGAAGTCACCCCTTCCGGGCGTATTCAAGCAGCCTAGATTATCTTGATTGGTCCCGAGCCTTTGACAGAGAAATTACTTCGTCGACCAAGGCGGGTGCTTCAACAGCCGCTCAAATTGCATCCGCTACAGCATGCGATGCCGTGGGATACGTGAAAGACAACGGGGAGGAAGATTCACTTCCAGACGAACCCGCCACGGGGGAAAGTGACCAGGAAACTGCGTCCGTGGCATCAACAGTCATCGTGCTAAGTGATTATGATGATGATGACTTGCTCATTGTGTCTGAAAATAATTCCAAACCGAGAGATCGCGTAAACAAGATGAAAACTTCAATGTGCAGTAAAGAACAACGAAAGGACCAGGCAAATAGATCCATACGGGGCAAGCAAACAAAAAAAGACAGGAGGGTCGAGCTAGATGCGCCGTCGTGTCACCTTGTCACCGACGCTGTCATAGGAAACGTGCTGTTTGAGCTGAACACATACACGGCCTGCTGCGTGTTGGACATGTGCGAGGACTCGGAAGCCAAACAAAAGGTGCTACAGCTTTACACCGAAGGAAAGCAGGCCATCGGCAAGACAGCCTACGATCTTGAAATCCAGCGGACGGTTGCAAAAGCGGTTGAAAACAAGCGAATCTCGTGGAAAGGCGCTTCTGGGACGCTGAGGAAGTTGGCTAAGATCCAGTGGTCTGTGCCGTCCGTGCAAACCGACGCTCTGCCAATAAAATTCTATCTTCAGAAAATGCAAGATGAACTCATCAAGGCGGCCACCACTGGCTCTTAGAAATAACCACTTTCATAACCCTCCTTTCCGTTTCGATTAAAGAGTTATCTTTAGTCAATAGTATCGCCATTCAAAGTTCTTACAATTCAACTAACGTCTACTTATTTCGCTCTTCAGCCTCTCCTCTGGTTATACCATCCCCTCTTTCTTCGCATCAATTGCAAAAAAAAAAGGCTCAACTTTTTGACATTATTCATTTTGTACCGTGTTTTTTTTTCGACAGATAGCAAATAAAATGAATGATAAAAAATGCCTCCTTTTTTAGAGAAATTCTTTCGGTTAGAATGTAAGCGTAAACGTCCACAAAATATACAAGTAAAGAACAAAAAGACTGGTGAAGAAGCGATTTGTTTTTAGGGTCCTTCCAGCGTGCTGGTATGAGATGCCATTCATTGTATTTACTTTGTTTCACTTGTGTTGAACTGCAGCCAACGCTAAGATCTGATGGAGACACTCAATCAGCGCGCTAAAAGTGCATCTTCACTGCGCTCGTTGTCTATGCGCGTTTGTCGTCACCGGTTAAAGGAACCGCACACCTAGAAAAAAAGCGGGATCGTGGCGAACCCATAATGTGATCGGATTTGTCCGAGTTGAGAACCGTGATGATGATGATGACCTCATGATGCTGCTTAAATGGCTCCATTCGATTGTGGCCTCGGTTACTCTCCGACTTAAATGAAAGCGGAGTATACTTCGTTTCAGCTTCGGTCCGAGAGCGGTCGATGTTATGAGCCGAAGGGCCAATCAGAAACCGCAAAAAGCATAGCGTCATGGCGTGCTCTCTACGCTTGATAAGACTAGCCGGCGGAGGAGCACGCACAGAGAGACGGCGAATACCGGCTGGTCCTATCAACTGCAGAGGGCACGCCATGACGTTGTGCCTCTTTCGCTGTTTGATTGGCCCTTCTGCTCGTAACATCGGCCGCGCTCGGACCGAAGCTGAAACGAAGTGTAGAAAGTTTCTCGATAAGGAGGCTCTAAAAACGAGACTGAGTGGCCGGCTCCGACTGAATGGAAGGCTGCCAGAAGCAGACATTGTGTCAAAAGATGCCGCTAAAAAGATAAACCGGGAAGTTCAATCGCAATTAAATCCATCGGATAGGCATAAGCGCGGATAAATTCTGTTTAATGACCGTATCTCTTTTGATTGGAATTCAAAATTCTCAGGAACGGTTTAGAAGGCACGGACGTGAGTGGTTGCCACCTCTCGCGCGCGAGTACTCGCGCAAGTATAGCCATTTGCAGAGCTACGCTGCTGAAGTAGAGCCTTTGCGCATACTTTGCGTGACGAAATGCTGACGCGAAAGAGTGGAGCCACCCGGCTCTTTGTTTGCGCAAGGTTATGTTCATGCAATGAGTGATTTTACAAATACATGAGTCATCGATAGGGTTCTGCACAGTCGATCGAATGATGTATAATGTTAATCGGGAAGAAAAAAAACACGTTTATCAATGCGGCAGATTCATGCATGTACAGAGCGGTCCAATAGCACTGCATGGAACGCGTGGCCGGCACTCTGCGCAGCGCCTGCTGCAAGTGCTCGCGGAAGCTTGGCGCGGATTACTGATCTCTATATGACAATTGCTGGATTGCGCTTCACCGCTCCGAGAATGCGGCCACCGGTCGGCCATCTTGTGCCAACAGGAAGTTGACCGGTTAGAGTGTTGCAGAGGCTGACGGCAGCGTCCTGAAGACACGCTTTCTGCTGCTTCGCCGTCATTCGCCAAATAAATTTATCTAAAACTTTGTGCAAACTGTTTTAGTCTCCTTTGAAAAGACGTGAAATTTTTTCACAAACGCGCTGCAGCGCGGGAGAAAGGCACAACTCGTCGAACGACCTGATCTTGCGGCCTGACCTAGGATCGAACATGAATTGGCGCATCGAAGTGCCGCGCCTCTGCCTTCGCACGCTTGGATACCCATCAAGAATCGCCTCCATGTGGATGATTTTAAAGGTGTGTCGCGCGTCAAGGTGTAGGTGCCTCTGGAGCAGCGTTTTACTTTACTCTGAGGACCGCATTTGTAACTTGTGGCACTCGCAACCCAGAAACGAGTTTGATACCGTGCCGACAGAACAGAGGGGGGACAGCGTGGCGGCGGCGGCGATCATTCTTTACTTTTCAGAAATTTCTAAGAATCAATTCAGATAAAAGAACGGAAAATATTTTTCTCGTTTTCGGAGTTTTCGGGAGAAATTATCTCCCGAAAACTTCCGACACCCCTCATTTCATCGTTGAAAATCGGCGTTGAGTTTCGTAACACACAATTTCCTGCGTTGCTCTATCTGCGTTTCAACGTGACATGAGCAGTTGGCGCTCATTCGTGCAGATTTCGAACATTATTGGTAGTGCATAATCAACCACTGATCACTGCAGCTTGCCGTAACAGATGGGCGGTCCAGAACTCCGCCACCGATATGTATGCGGCACAGCCGTCTACACGCGGCACAACTCCCAAACTTCTCCGAAAAGTTAACACATCCGCACGGTGTCGAATCCTCATTGGTATCCAAGAATGCGATGGAAGGGTTGAAGCACTTCGGTGTGCCAATTGTCCCCCGATGAGGCGCCGAGACATACATTGGACAAGTTATGCCTTTTTTCTGCGGTGCTGAACTTCCGTGAAAATATCCACGTGTTCTCAAAGGCAACTACGACCGTTTACACAAGGTTAAAAACAAAAAAAGTCTTCTTCGATGATTGATGCCGTACTACCAGAAAACGTGTTTTCCCGCACGCTGCAGCCGAGCCTCTGAAACGCTCCACCCGGCAGACTTTCGGAGGGCCCAAGATGGCCGATACAGAACTTCCGGTGGCATCACTCGGTGGCATCCTGAGAAGACGCGAGGCGCCTCGAGCACTTCCGACTGCCTCCTGACTGTTTTAGTAGATCGTACGCCGTGAAAAGCGGGCCTCAGCGGACGCCTGCTCGCTTCTATGATTCCAAGTGACGGCACGAGCTCCCGTTAGCAAAGCGTAGCTCTAGAATACGGTCTACTAAGAGCCCCTGATGTTATGGCGTCGTCACACTCGGTAAGATCGGTCTATTTAAAATTAGATTCTCTCAAACCGAGTCCAAAGGTTTTTTTCCGCAACAAGTCGATCCGTTTGTGGCTTGCCGTTCGCAGAGAGGCAGGGCGGCATTTGCGGCAAGCATCAAACGGTTCACACCAGGGGTGGCCCCAGGAAAATGAGCCTCAACACGGGCATCATCACCTTCCAGAACCACGGCTCCCAAGTGTCGCCCAAGGTCAGCGAAATCACCCTTGCCCACGAGCTCGGACACAGCTTTGGCTCCCCGGTACGCAGAGGCGCGGCACGGCCGCCGCGCGCTGTTTACGCCGGAAAAAATCGCCCATGAGGAATACTGCTCTATAGATGAACCCAAAACCCACTGACGTCACGCCACTGCGGTGGTGCTGCTGTCGGTACTGCGCATGCGCAGATGCTTCGCCCCTCCAGACTTTGGTTTCTGCGCACGCGCAGTGCCCACATGTGGAGTGGGCAAAGCCAACACCTCCTAGACAGAAGGCCTCCGCATGGTCTCCTCTCTCTCTATGAAACATCATCAGAGTCGGATGGCTCCATAGGCGTAGACTTCGGGGGGCATCGGGGCTCGTGCCCCTCCCCCCCCCCCCCCCCCCCCCCTTCCCGGGCCAAGGCTATCATCCTTACTGAGACGCTGTTTACGCGCTATGTAATGAGCTTCTAGTAGTGGCATGTAAACAAAATAACGCCCACGTTGCCTTTATTGACAAAATATGTGGGAAATGAAATCCAAGCGTGGCTTTCGTTAGCTTCAATCTCCAGTTCTGGCGCAAAGGTAACGCGATGCACCTCCGCCCCCACCCACCCGCCCATGTTCGGTTGTGACGTTTTGTAACCCTTGAGCTAAGACTTTCATTAAAACCTTGTAATCAACGTTACCAAGCACTATTTGGCTGTAGTTCCTAATATAATTTAACTTTTGTTCGTCGTCGTTTTTGGGGATGAGCACAGTATGCGTGTTCAGAAAGGAGGGTGGCAACTTCTTTTTTTTTCATTCGCTTCCAATATTTCTGCGTAAAGATAACCAACTATGAAGTGTTTGTATTCTTTATAAAAATCTGCCATAACACCGTCAAGCCCCAGATATTTTTGGAATGCTAGCTTGCCAATCGCTTGGTCTATTTCCCCCACGCTTATCAGCTCTTCCAGCCATTTCCTTATCTCAGCGCTTACACGTGGCACCACTGATAGGTAATCTTCAAGCTGCGAGTCACCGCCATCTTCCTTCCACCCAAAAATACTGCTGTAATACGATTCCGAGTCAAGAGGTCCAACGCGTCAAAAGGTCCAACGAGTCAAGAGGTCCAATATTGGACCTCTTGACGCGTTGGACCTCCTGACGCGTTGGACCTCTTGACTCGGAATCGTATTACACCGTTGGACCTCTTGACTCGCCGTGGATCTCTTGACTCGTTGGACCTCTTGACGCGTTGGACCTCTTGACCCATGTTGGATCTCTTGACTCGTGCCTCAATGTGTCAAGAGGTCCAACGGGTCAAGAGGTCCAATATTCCCAAAGTTTTTTTTTTATTATTATGTTGGATTGTGTTGGACAAGTCACGGATTTTGACGACGGATTTTGCCGACGGCTTTTTCGCTGACTGAGCCAGGTAATGCTCACGCATTAAAAAAAGCAGACAACAGAGATGCTAACAATAAAGGCGGAGAAGAAAATGTTGAAGAGCAAAAAGTTGAGCTGTGAAGACTTCCACACGGCAGGGAGAATCTCACGAACACGGCTTTGATACATCGTTTCTGGCCGGTGATGTAATCAGTGTTCGTGCGTATGACCCGTGATTTGCTTGGTTTCTGAAGCGACAGATACGCGCGCGCTGGGCTGTGCTGTTCGCATGCTGGGCACTGGATTTGTAAACACCGGAAATCATTGTTGTTAAAAACTGTCAAGCTTATAGCAACATTCGTTTGCTGGGGACCTGTGTGCCTTCTCTCTTCTACCCCTAACCACAAGGTCGTAAATCTGCAACTCCCGTGTTGCTCTCCCCGCGAATATCGAGATTTGAGATGCATTTCTTTAGGAAGTGACTACTTCGACATCCGGGTTTGAAATAATTGTAAAATTATTTTGAACACATCTTTCGTCACACACAAAAGATATGTCCATAGTTATTTGCTATTTCGACGTCTACCATCACACTAACGCACTATTACGGCGTTTGACGTCAGGATAACGGAACGTTGTTCTTTTTTTTTTTATTTCTGTGACATCATTTTCAGAAGTTGTGATAATTGTTTAAATTTGTTCACGTCTCGTCCAAATAGCTTCCTTGATATTTTGAAGTGCTTGGTTTTTAAAGAACTTGAAGAGACTGTTTGCCCTGGCGTAGCATGGCATGTAAATTTAGTCATTTTTCCATTCGCGACCTTGGCCTAGCACTGGACACAGTAGAAATCTATCGGCTTCAGAGATCAACCTGCTTTCCTACACAAACAGTTCTTCAATCGACTTCAATCTTTATGACCCAATTTTCTAAAAATGGTCGAGCAAGTAACCCACCATCTTACAATTCCACCCGACTAACACATCGCGTGATTTGAACTAAAAGTAAATGATATCGACAAACAAGTGTTAGGTAATTCGTGTCAAGAATGCTTAATCATGAAACGTTCAGTTTCATGGTTTATTTCACAGCATTCTGAAAAATAAAGATCAATAAAGGAGTTACATATCGCTAGCATAAGTATTTGTGGCTGCTCCCTGCTTTTAAGTAAGCCAATGGCCCAAATTAACCCGCTATAGCTTGCACCGGTCATAACGTTTCAAGGAGACAATGCTGGCATTCATTAACAACACTATTGGACGCCAAATGGCATAATTTGGGCTCGTTTAAAGACACCCTCCAGTGACATTTGAGCTTCTTCCCATGTTGTGTTATTTACCTCTTTGGTGAATCGGTGAACTCAGTGAATAAAAACTAAAGCATAAAATAGTGGTGCATCATATTTTTAATAAAACATACGAAAACCCGAGACTGGACAAAATTACCCAAGGAAGTATTTGCGCTTACAAATACTGAGATACATGAAAGGGAAGGCTAAATGCGAGATGCTGAGGTACATTTGTATTTTGTATCTCGGGAATATGAGAGTCACTTCCGTAGAAATGGCATAAATAAGTCCTAGGACAGAGAGACTTGAACACAAATATGAAGTTCTACAAGTCCAAAATATGTCGCCAGGCACTATCCATTATTTAACACTGAAATACTTAGTTATACATTGTGGCAAATAGTATCTGTCTACTTGTCTCCAATGGCTATGTAGTACTTGTATTCTCCAAAATGATTCAAATAGGTCAAACAGTCAGTAACCGTCACAAGCAGTCCCATTAATAGCAATATCATTATAAACAGAGAAGATAAAAATAAGACTCGATGGACCTCTTGACGCGTTGGACCTCTTGACTCGATGGACCTCTTGACTCGATGGACCTCTTGACGCGTTGGACCTCTTGACACTAATTGGACCTTTTGACTCGTTGGACCTCTTGACGTGTTGGACCTCTTGACTCGAATTGGACCTTTTGACTCGTTGGACCTCTTGACTCGGCTGTCACGTGGCTATTGGACATCTTGACTCGTTGGACCTTTTGACTCGTTGGACCTCTTGACCATAAGCGCTGTAATACTCAGTGAACGCCTTTTCTATCTCCTGTGGACGACGGCACGGCCGGCAATCGTAATCTATTTCGGATTTTTTTTTTTGCTTTTTTAGTCTTAGCAGGTAATGCCTGTTTGGTAGGCTGTTCGCCATGAATGTATCTCTCAGCTCGAATTCGAACGAAGGCTCCTTTTTATTTCTCGGTTTCTAATTCTGCAATTTTACGTTTAACACACTTGATTTTATGTGTAAACTTTCCCGAATTTTCACATTCAAGTTTGCATGATCTATGATGATCTGCTATTATTAAGTTTTCCATGACCTTTTTCCAGTACTAAAGCGTGGTGGAGCGTTCTATCGAATTGAGTTTAAGTTCGTGTTTAAACCCTTCTCAATTTTCATTTGCTCTTTCGTTTATATTAGACATTTCACTAAACAATCTATAAATTGTGTCACGGAAAACTTCATTCTTAAGAAGGCTATTGTTAAACTTCACGAGATCCCAACGAAAAATAAGCTTTTCTTTTATCCCACCGAGATTTAAAGAAACCAACGCATGATCGGAAAAGAAAACTGGCAACACGTTATAGTTGTCATAACCGGTTAAGAGATCAATAAACATATATGCTCCATCAAGGTCAGCATGACTAGAGGATTGAAATTGAGTCTACTTTCACTTTATATTGCTTCTTTGGTAATTTGCGACATCTTCTACTGAAAGCTCCGCTGTCTTTTCTTTTAAAACGCTCGTGCTCCAATCGGTTTTTGGTGTTCCAGTGGAACGATCCCTCGAGTCGCCAATATAGTCAAAGTCCACTAAGAATGTACCTTCCCTTTCACAATATAAATACGAACAAACTTTGATAATCTTGTATACAGCGTTAACAAAGTTACAGTCACAAATAACAGATCTCCCGTCACTGTCTACAAGAACAGACTGAACTTGCATGTTTAAAGACTTTTGTAGAAACAAAATACGTCCCCCGGAAGTTCCTTTCGCGTGCGAAACATAAACATCAAGGTAATATAAGAAAGTCACCGACAGGTGAGCGGCCTCATCTTCACTTTCGACTTTCGCCTCCTGAATCGCGAGAACGTCAATGTCGTTGTCAATTAGAAGCCTGTTGACCTGATACTGTTTGCGGTGCGAAGCGAAGCCATGGCCGTTGGTCGCTACCTTCAGCTTATTGAGAAGGCCTGGCGTCCTCGCAAATCAGGGACTCACATGTTCTGTGGAAGCCCTCACCAGGAGGTGGCTCGGAAACCCGACAGCCGGCCGGCTTTTCCGGGCCGTTGGACACGGGTATGGTCTTCAAGGCGGGTCGAAGCGGCTCGGTTGTCTGCGGCCCCGGCTTCGCTGGCGGCACCGTTATATACGCCATCCCTAACTGTTGACGAATCGACGTCGTGCTCCCGTGGCCGTTTCATGGCCCGCGCGCTAGCGCCGGCAATATGTACGTCTTTGCCTTGATGCTCCTCCGGGGTCTTCGTCGATCCCTCGTTTTTCGTCGCAGCAGTCTCCATCGCCGTCGCCTCATCAGACTACTGAGTGGTCGAGGCGGCCGATGGAGCGCTCCGACGTAGTTCGACCGACTTCCGTCTTAAGCTCAGGCTCCAAGGTCGTCTTGATACCAG